TCACACTCCTGCCGTTGCGGGTTACAGGGTAACACCCCAGCTCCTGCCAACGTCGTTCTGGCATCGACAAACTGAGGGCACAAAACAGAGCAACGCTGCCGATGTCAGTCCAGGTACAACCATCTCTGAAATCGAATATCCCAATAAAGAAGAAGACTGGATGCTTCTCTAGCTTTCAGAATCCCAGAAGGCTTAATATACCGTAATTTGTCCAAGAAGCTTCCAAAAGTTACCGTGCAGAGAAACTTCCCCCTGCCCGCAACCCCTGTTCCATGTTGCCTCCGCCGAGGAAAACCACCTCGGCCCCAACCTGGAACAGATCCCCTCCTTCCCCCCCATCCACAAAGGCGTCCAATTCCCTCCTAGAGGATACCTTCGCCCTCCCTTTGTCCCTATCTACCCCCGTCAGGTTGAAGGCGACCAACTCTCCCACCTCGGCCCCATACCAGGACAAACCACAAATCTGCCCCACCCCCGACAGGGCAGCCACCTCCCACCTTGCAGCGCCCCTGTAAAGTAAGGCTCCCCAATACCAACCCCCACCCTTCCCCCAAAAATCCAAACTGTGACCACAGAAGCCCTATCCCGACTGAAGCAAACCCATCAGATGAAGCGGCCAATTAGCCTGGGAAAAAATCTCATGGGATAGTGTATAGTTGAATAAAATTTTGTGATGGAAATCCCAGGATGGAAACACTCAAGAGAGTGAACATGAAGAAAGGAAATCATGATGAAAGTGCCCGAAAAAAAATACTAATTGCTGACGGGAACAGTACCCTAAAACAAAGGGTTATCGGTACCATAAAACAAAGGGTTATCAGGAGAGTATTGGCGAGCAAGCTCACCTGCAGATGATATCGGTAATGACCCCCTAATGAGAGATTGGATTAATGATGATTTTTGTAAGAATGATAGTATGATGATGATAATGATATCGATGATACTGCCACAGATGGTGGTAATGACGATGATGGTATTGATGACTTGTGATTGGATGGGCGACCGAGAACAATACCCTAAGACTGGAGATTTTAAGGATGATATTGGCGAGAAGGCACACCTACAGATGGTATCAGTGACATCCCACTAATAAGGAATTTTTTTTATGAGGATGATGGTGATGAGAATGATAGTGATGATGATGGTGATGCTACAGATGGTGATAATGACGAGCAACACAGCGATGATGACGCTGGTAGAAATGTAATGATGATTGGAACGACGAGCAATTACCAATACTTAAATGACAAGCACAACTACAACCTCCTAAAAATAACGACTTGTGCTTTGATCGTGAGCTAATGGTGATGAAAAACGACTAATCACACCCTTTCCTCAAGTGATGATAACAGATAATATCCTAATGGTGCGACTAACGTCGTGATGATGCTAACAAACCTTGATGATGATGATGACGGGCTTCAACTTGATAACGAACAACGTTCCTGATAGCCTTGTTTTAATGAGGATAACGTGATGATGATGATGATGACGAACATCAGCTTGATGACGAAATTGCGCCCCTGATAGCCTCGTTGTAATACTTGATAACACGTCCAAGTTGTGCCCCTGAAGACGAACAACACCCTATTGTCGAGCAGTGCTCCTGATAGGAAGCAGTGGGGTGATGTCGAATCGGAACCTAATAGTGATGGTGATGGTAAGGATGATGGCGAGCAGCACCCCAATGGCAGGCCGTTACTGTAATCACTCACACTTCAGGGTACCTAAGGCTAACTCCATTGTACTCCACAGACATCGACAAAGCCAACACCTCTCAGGCCAAAAGCCACATGCAGCAATGCAGCGGCAATGGAGTAAAACATGGAACTCCCAAAAACTAAACGCCATGGGGGTATTTGGAAAATTACCCCCCCTCCAAAAAGAGGAGACTCTCTCTCCCTCTCTCTCTCTCTCTCTCACACACACACACACACACACACACACACACACACACCTCCTCCCCCATGTGCGACCTTGCAAACTCCTCGTCCTCCCTCGCGGCCCCCTCCTCCCACTGGCACAAACTCCTTCTCCTAGCACGAACCCCTCCCGCACGACCTCCTGCAACCTATCGTCCCCATCGTGCGACCTGCTCCTGCCCCTCCCATGACTTCCTCCTCACATTTGCACGACCCATTCCTCCCCCTCCTCGGACCTCCGCCCCTTTGTGCGACCTCCTCCCCATCCGTGCATGATGTGCTCTTCCCCCTCGCAGATTCTGTTCAGACCTCCTCCTCCCCCTCACATCGGCCAAGGCATCAGCTCGCCGTCGGGTGCTTTGTAAACTAGAACTATTTTATTCTGGTCGCCGCTGGATTTGAACTCACCTTTGAATTCAACAGTTTCATGTGTGCACCAACTGAATTCAACAGTTTCATGAGAAGGAATCTTCCGCAAGAACATAGGAAGATACAGCGCGACGGACAGATACATTGAAAAGAAATCCCCTTGTGTCCGATGTAAATGTTGCCCCCGACGTCCATCCATAGAATCAGCAAAATGGGAATGAATCTGTCGGGTGTGTGTGTGTGTGCGCTTGAGAGAGAGAGAGAGAGAGAGAGAAAGAGAGAGAGAGAGAGAGAAAACCAGAGAGAGAGAGAGAGAGAGAGAGAGAGAGAGAGAGAGAGAGAGAGAGAGAGAGAGAGAGAGAGAGAGGGTACTTTCATCTATAGGATGAGCAAAATCGAATAAAACTACCGTTAGAACATCGAAATATACACTTCTACACGTGTGTATGTGTGTGTGTGTGTGTGTGTGTGTGTGTGTGTGTGTGTGTGTGTGTGTGTGTGTGTGTGATTCATTCCGATTTCG